AGGAACAAATAAGTGATGAACAAATATAGCCGGAGTGAAGTATCCCCAAACAGGGTTTTTAAAACGCACTGCGGTTTCCAAGGTCGATTGCGTGCCCGTCCAGTGCGGGCTGGCGTGGCATGTTAGAACATGATAACATGATGTTTGCACATGAGAGGGCGGAAGGCAGGGCGCGCATGACGGAAGCTGAGGCGGCAGAAACGACGACGGCGGGCACCTCGCGAGCGACATCTTGGAGCTCGGTATTTGAAGGATGTCTCAAACGAAACGGGCTGGACAAACTCTTGCACACGTTCTGACAAGTCCACGTCACATTCGCTTCCCGTTGGGTCCTCTCCTGCAACTCCCTTCCTTCTCCCTCCCCCTCCTCCTCCTCCTCCTCCTCCTCCTCCCTCCTCCTCCTCCTCCCCCTCCTCCTCCTCCCCCTCCCCTCCTCATCCAATCTCCTCCTCCTCCTCCTCCTCCTCCTCCTTCTCCCTTCCATCTCCTCCTCCTCCTTCTCCTCCTCCTCCTCCACCTCCTCTTCATCCCGAACGGCATCTCGGAGCCCAGAGTTGCGAGGATGCCTCCAGCGTAACGGGCTGGGCCACCTCGTGCGCAGCATCTCGGAGCCCGAAGTTGCGACGATGTCTCGGGCAAAACGTGCTGCGAAGAAGTCTCAGGCGAAACGGGCCGGACCACCTCGAGCGCGGCGTCTCAGAGCTCCGAGTTGCGGGGGCCTCCTGGGGCCTCGTGGGGCCTTCTGGGGACCCCCTGTGGCGTCCTCCTGGGCCTCCTGTGGCCTCCTGGACCCCACCTGGGGCTTCCTGAAGCCTCTTGGGGCTCCCAGGGGGGGATATCTAACGTGTGGCCGTCTGGGCCCCCCAAATGGGGGGCCACAAGAGCAGGAAAAATCAACGAATCGACACCGGATGTGTATTAATTTGACACGTTCTGATAGGGGGCCTCCTGGGGCCTCCTGGGAGCCTCCTGGGAATCTCCTGGGGACCCCTGGGGCCTGTCCTGGGCGTCCTGCGGCCTCCCCTGGGCGTCCTGTCCTGGGAGCCTCCTGGGAAGCTCTCCGGGGCCTCCTGGGGCTCCCAGGGTCCCAGGGGGGATATGTAACATGTGGTCTTCTGGGCCCCCAGGCTGGACCACCTCTTGCGCGGCATCTGGGAGCTCAGAGTTGCGAGAATGTCTTGTGCGAAACGGGCTGGACCACCTTGCGCACGGCATCTCAGAGCTCAGAGTTGCGAGGATGTCTCAGGTGAAACGGGCTGGACCACGTCGCGCGCGGCATCTGGGAGCTCAGAGTTGCGAGAATGTCTTGTGCTAAACGGGCCGGACCACCTTGTGCACGGCATCTCAGAGCTCAGAGTGGCAAGGAAGTCTCAGGCGAGACGGGCCAGACCACCTCGCGCAGGACATCTCAGAGCTCAGAGTTGCGAGGACGTCTCAGACGAAACGGGCTGGACCACCTCTCGCGCGGCATCTCGGAAAGCAAAAGTGCGAAGATGTCTCAAGTGAAACGGGCCGGACCACCTCTTGGGCGGCATCTCGGGGCTCAGAGTTTGGAGGATGTCTCAAGCGAAACGGGCCAGACCACCTCTCGCGCGGCATCTCGGAGCCCGGAGTTGCGAAGATGTCTCAGGCAAAACGGGCCGGACCACCTCGCGCACGACATATCAGGGCTCAGAGTTTGGAGGATGTCTCATGTGAAACGGGCTGGACCACGTCGCGCGCGGCATCTCCGAGGTCCGAATTGCGAGGATGTCTCAGGCGAAATGGGCTGAACCACCTCTTGCGCGGCAGCTCAGAGCTCAGAGTTTCGAGGATGTCTCAGGCGAAACGGGCCGGACCACCTCGCAAGCGGCATCTCGGAGCCCAGAGTTGCGAGGATGTCTCAGGCGAAACGGGCCGGACCACCTCTCGCACGGCATCTCGGGGCTCAGAGTTTCGAGGATGTCTCAAGCGAAGCGGGCCGAACCACCTCGCAAGCGGCATCTCGGAGCCCGGAATTGCGAGGATGTCTCAGGCGAAACGGGCCGGACCACCTCTCGCACGGCACCTCGGGGCTCAGAGTTTCGAGGATGTCTAAAGCGAAACGGCCCGGACCACCTCTCGCGCGGCGTCCCAGAGCGCAACTTTTCGAGGATGCCTCAGGCGAAACGGCCAATCCCGGCCAACTCAGAAACGAGAGTTGTGAGGATGTCTCAAGCGAAACGGCCCGGACCATCAGATTTTTGCGAGGATGTCTCTGCTCCCCTTTCCCTCGGCCGGAGTTAGCTTCTATCACAACAGCACCCCGTTCAGCAAGCTGTTTGGGGAATAACTGATGCTCTACGCACCCGAGGGATGCACAGAGTGCCATCTGTCCTCATCAGCCAGTAGGGCACGGCCCCTCGGTGGGAGAGGGGTTCCAGGCTAGCTAGCTTGGCATGGTCGGACGACCATTTGAAACAGAGGGTGAGGCAGGCGGAGCAACTGGAGAGACGATGACGACAGCAGGAAGGTCAGTAGTAGAAGCGCGCGGCCGTCGTCCCCAAGTCCACAACTAGTTCCCGCCCACTATAGGGAACCTAGCATTGCAACGCGCGCGGGGAAACAAAGCACTTGGAGGTGAATGTCAACGCAGGCAAGATTTTGAGAGAAAGAGAGAGAGAGAGAGAGTGACACCCGTTATGCCTGCTGTATCCTCTGTCGCTGGCCCGTT